AGCAGGGAGTCTGCTTCTCCCTCTGACCCTCACCCCTCTCATGCTCTCTCTCTCATTCTTTCTCTCAAATAAATAAATAAAATCTTTAAAAAAAAAGACAGGAAGGCAGAGCATCATAAAGCACACAGGAGTGAGTCCAGGGCTCTGTCTGTGCACAGGCAGGCAGTACACAGGAGATGAGGATGAGAAAAGGGAGAGAGGTAGGGTGCATCTCATGGGGAGTCCCTGACATGCCAGGCTACAGACTTAAACCAGTCCAACAAAATCACCTACAATTCTAAGAGACTGAAAGCTTACTAACCGTCATGTGATCCCTCACTTGGTATCCAAATACACTTTATTTACTGTAACTAAAAGGAAGACACCTGAAAGAAAATTCCCCCAAAAAAGTAACTGAAATAAGTTTATTTGCAGAAGAACATCTGAACATCAGCTACAGTGTGATCCACAATGATCCAACAACAGCCGAGACTCGTTCTGGGCGTGCTCTTATGCAGTTTGGAGGAAACATCAGCTGAACACTTATCAAACTTCAGAAAGCCGTCTAACCTGAGTATCACACAACACATAATGACCATGACACAGTAATGAAAATACAACAGCAAATACTCACCACTTTGTGAGCTACAGCAACAATATAAGCAATTTAGGCCCTTTTTAAAAAAATGAAAAAATAGATTACAGCTTTATTTCAAGCATTTTCAGTTGAATACAACTTTATATATTTTCACTCACAACAGACAGCAAAAGAATGCCTGTAGATAAATTACTTGTTTAAATGTTTGCACTCGGAAGTGCACTTTGCCAGGTAGGAGTTCAGATAAGAGAATGAAACTGTGCTGGGCCAAAATCCTGGCTGCTGATCAAGACTTGTATAGTTTCCGTATCTGTCTAAAAAAGCTTACATCGGAGAAAAAAGAAGGAGAACGTAAAGAGAACCAACATTATTCTTTTTCAGTGAAGCAGTCTAATGGATTCCAAGTGTGTCGCCCCGAAGTTGAGTCCCATCCAGGCCGAGGAGCCGAGGAAGCTGGGAGGAAAGTGCTAACTGAACACTACAGAGATGGCCACTGATAACAGAGCTTCTAGAGGCCCCGGGCCACACGGGGTGAAGGGCCGCCAGGACCACTGGTACAAAGGTAAAGTGCGCTCACTGAACTGCACACATAGAGCTCCTCGGAGGGTTAACAGTTCTTGACAGAGGTTCCTGGTTGTAGTTTACAATATCTGCCTTCACCACCCTCTGTCATAAAAGAAAACAGAGTTATTATCAGGACATCAGAACATTTAGAAAGAGCTTGTTAAAGTATATTTTTATTTTCTGAACTGTGGTGAACTCCTGATGATAGACATCATAAATGAAGCCAGAGCTGATATTAAAAGAATCAATCAGAACAAACTGATGTAGAGCTGAGATGTTGGGGAGTGAGGAGCTTCGGTTTGTTTTTTGTTTTTGTTTTGTTTTTTGTTTTTTAAGGATGGAAGAGCAATTCCTTTACTGAGTCTTCCCTGGTTTTATGACATTAACTTGATGTTACCACAAGTCTAACACAAAATTGACACATCAATAAGAAAAATTAAAGCCTAGTTATAATTTAAAGCAAATGAATGAGAATTAATCATTCACATACTTTAATTCATAGGCAAGACTTCATAATTTCAAAGTAAAATATGTCATTATTTATTAATATTTAAATAAACCATTATACCCAGCCATAACTTTTTTAGAATGTCTGCAGCAATTTGTGAGTTAGTCAGAAAACGTGTAAATGTTATATAGGAGCCACATATAAAGGAGAAATGTTTTGAGCAAACCAATTTTTAAAACTTTCCTCCCAAATCCCTAATTTACTTCCAGAGAGCTCACTATTGGGTTATGAATAATGACTCTAACAAAATACAGAATGAAAAATTTAGAAAATTACCTCATATTCATGTTTTTAAAATAATTTAAACCAAAAGACACTTTTAACTCTTCTTTCCATCCCTCTAACCCACACTTCAAGGAATATCTTCAATGATGAATTTAGCAATATACCCTAAGTAATAATTTAAATTAAAACAGCTCCTTCACTGTTCTCAACTCTATTACTAAGTCTGCACACAGAAGCAGACAAAGAAAGGTAATTCAAGGCAAATTTTAAAAATACCTTTTCAATTACCATGCTATTTCAGGAAAAATGGGAAGGACTGAATAATGAAATAACTGTCTCAACTCTCCACTTCACTGCACATGTGATAAACACAACGATAAAGACAAATATGTTTGAAAGTAACTGAAATGTTATTTTAATTTGCTCCAATTCCTTGTTTGTCAGTCTCCTGGCAAAGAATCAATTTTTCACAGTTCTAAAACAGGCCTTACAATTAACAATATTAACTCCCAATCATGTACAATAATCATTTGAACTTCTCTACTCATAAGGAATAAAGAGCAAGATAGCATCCATTATTCCCCCGCCCTCCTCCCCCAAATTGCAATCAATTTACCCATTAATACCTGCACTACTGTACTGAACAGATTCTACTCTGAGCAGAGTTGGTATGTCGATTATCTTCTTCCGGGTACTTCACTATTTCTGCCCTGACAATATGCTGTCAATTCCGTACAACATAAACAAGATGAAGAAGAAAGTGGGGGGGGGTAAGAAAAGAAAGAAAAAAAGGAAAGTATGTTCAATGACTGAAAATAGAAGGGAACATCAAAGCAGAAAAAGAAACAAACACATAAATTTAAACATGTCACAGAAAAAAACAGCAGAATATATGCACATAAAAGGAAAGAAAATGAATGAAGATCCATGAAACGTTATTCTTTGCAACTCTATTTAATTATTGAAATAGACATGTCTACTGAACCTCCCAGACAAGATGGGAGTTCTACTTTTGGTATCACAATTACACATTATATCTATAACACCCAGAATTTCAGAGGACAACAAAGAATTACAGGGATTTTCTATACTAAAGTGCAGTAAAAGTATTTAATTCCATCTTCTTCAACAAACATTACTGAAGATCTATGTGCCAGTCACTCTACACTGGGAATGCACGGTTGAATTACACAATCTCTGTTCACAAGGTGCTCTGGACTAAATGGGGAGAGAAACATGTACACAGCTAATTGCCATACAAGATAAGAGCTTTACTAGTGGACTTATAATATCTTGTGGGAAGAGAGGGGAAGGAGTAATTAATTTTCTCTGAAGGTGGGGAGTGGATGCATAAATCTGAGGAAGCCATGTGCCACTTACAATCTTTACACTTAATATCTATTACTTGTCAAAGACTTCTTTTTGATGCTCATTCCCTTGTCCCACATAACCCTCACCTCCATGCTTCCAAATTCCATATAGAAACAAAACACATTTTCTATCATTTAAGAAAAAGTCCTGACATACAGTATTGAAGCACAATAGCTACTGTTTCAAATATCTAAAGGAGTTTTGCTAAATAAAAAATCAAAACTACTTTGATAGGTTTTGGATTGCTATAACCCTTAGGATGAAAAGAGCATGTACGACAAGTATGTATGATAGCGATAACGTGCTCCCCTCAAATTTCTTAGACTTAAAATTATCCTCATTATTTTTATGATTTCAAATATCTTATTTCAGAAAATCTTTCTTCATATTAGTATCTATTAATTAACACATATAGAAACACATATTAGGGGCGCCTGGGTGGCTCAGTTGGTTGGGCGACTGCCTTCGGCTCAGGTCATGATCCTGGAGTCCCTGGATAGAGTCCCGCATCGGGCTCCCTGCTCGGCAGGGAGTCTGCTTCTCCCTCTGACCCTCCTCCCTCTCATGCTCTCTGTCTCTCATTCTCTCTCTCTCAAATA